TATAAGTTTTAACAAAGCATTCTTCGCAATACTGGACATGGAACAATATGTTAGGTTTGTTGTTACAGTCTGGTCAGCAATGCCACTCCATATCATGCCAACATGTAAATAATTATGTCTATACCAGGTAAACCAGCTATGGAAAGGATGTCAGAAGTACCACAATTGCCTATACTCACACAAGTAGGCAGTCTGACCAGCCAATCCAAATTAGTCACCTTTTGTAAGGCACAGTGCCTATAATCACTTTAATTAGATAGTCTACATTATAATTTTTTTAAATTTTACATGCCCCACGGTGCTTAATGACAGTTCTGCAATATAGTGAAATTGACAAACACACAAATTTAATATATTCAATAAAAAGTAAATCATGAAATTAATTGAAAAAAGAAATAATGAACACTTCACAGTATCACATATGTTTATTTATAAAAATGACAGAAGACATATACCTTTATTGTACATATCTATACCATGATAAAATATACAGATGCACTTTCCATTTTTTTCTGCAATACCTCAATATAAAACATCTTCACATACTTATAGTATGATAAAATACTGTACACCTTAAATTACAAAACAACAAACTTTTCTTATTATGAGATTTTCATACTTGTACAGTGTTTAATGTGTTCACTATGACAGTGAAGTGAAGTTTGTACTCATGTGGGTCCTAGATGTTTACCATGTTGGAGAAACCCACAAATACTGGTATGGTGCTAACAAACCCAAAAATTAGGGTGAATCAGGATTTGAACCCAAGATCACCAGCATACCTAAGGTATGCGACCACATAGCAAATCGCAGTTTGTGTATGATGTACATGAGCAACCAGAAGCACCAAGGTTATTGCTGACTGAATGACTGACTGAGTTTAGTTTTACGCTGCTTTTAGCAATATTCCAGCAATATCACGGTGGGGGACACCAGAAACTAATTTAAAGATGTTTTTCCTAGGATATGTGTAAATGCCGACCTCGAGAACTGCTGACGAAAGTTTATAATACTGTCCATCTTCGTGATGTGTGAACATGCATCTCTGTACACCGAACGAGAGAGATTTTGATTTACATTTAGTACATCTTCTTACCTTGTGAAACATTCATTTGCACTCATCCCATTGGATAATAAATTAAGACAATATTTACAAAATTACATACATACAAGACAAGCATGAAAATTCATTTAGCCATTAAATCATTGTCATGATTATAACTGAATCAAAAACCTCAGTTCACAACTTCATTCATATCAACAAAACATAATCATTTGTGGGATTTTCTTTTCAATCTGATCATCTTAGAAACATATTTCATACTATCAGTAAACACAATTTGAGATTCTTGATAGATCCATTTCTGTATTTGCCTGACAGCTGCTACTCAAAAAATGTTACAGAGTGAGTGAGTTGGGCTTAACTTTACTTTGAACAGCATGCCAATCTTATCACACTGAGTCAGTTCAAAGGGGGAGGAAAGTTTAAGTGAGTGAGTGAGTTAAGTTTTACGCCACACTCAGCAATATTCCAGTTATATGGCAGCGGTCTTTCAATAATCGAGTCTGGACCAGACAATCCAGTGATCAACAGCATAAACATCCATCTGTGCAATTGGGATACGATGACATGTGTCAACCAAGTCAGCGAGCCTGACCACCCGATCACATTAGTCGCCTATTACGATAAGCATGGGTTACTGAAGATCAATTCTAACCCAGATCTTCACGGGGCAGGAAAGTTTGAAGTGATGCAGGTCTTGGATGTCTACCCAAGAGCAAGGGTAAAGTGCTGACATACCCAGAAACATAAATTGGGTGAATCATTATTTGAACCCACAATCACAGGATTCTGATGTCCTCAAGGGAAGTGACTCTGAACAGCAGTTTGCAGTGCCTCAGAAAACGTGGCCACTTGAGCCTAAGAACTGACTGACTGAGTTTGGTTTTAAGCCGCTTTTAGCAATATTCCAGCAACATCACGGCGGGGGACACCAGAAATGGGCTTCACACATTGTACCCATGTGGGGATTCGAACCCGGGTCTTTGGCGTGACGAGCCAACGCTTTAACCATTAGGCTACCCCACCGCCCCTGAGCCTAAGGAGTTAAAGTAGGCATGTCTCTTTTTGATTAATCTATGGTGGCATTACATATAAGAAAAATCAATAACTGTTCTTAACATCTTTTGAGTAGCATACTTTAAGCCAATCTGAGAACATAACTAAAGGCCGTTTTCATTATTAGCTCTTGAGAAATAAGTCACATATATCACTGATTAACATCATCATTCAATTGTCTCTTATAAAACAAGTGTAATATATATACATACATAATTTGAACAGACAGCACTTGAGGACTTCATTATAGCATGAAACTGGCACAAAATTGATGCAGATAACATTGTGTTTGAAAGTATGAAAATCATCATAATATTCACATCTAGTTTTAAAACATAACATAATGCCACAAAACAACTTCAATATATACACTTATGACTGAATGAATGACTAGATGACTTCATGCTCTGAATGAAAAATATATCACATTAATATTCCTTGCACATTTTGAATTTGCTTTTCAATAGGTAAAAAATATATTTCATCATATTTAACTGATAATGACCATAATTCTCAGATGTAAATAAACTATTGTAAGTCTAGCACTATTTGATATATACTTCTGAAAGAAGTTAGTGAGTCAGTATGGTTTTACTCCGCTTTTAGCAATATTCCAGCAATATCATGGCGGGAGACACCAGAAATGGGATTCACACATTGTACCCATGTGGGGAGTCAAACATGGGCCTTCAGTTTGACTTGCGGACGCTTTAACCATAAAGCTACCCAACCGCACCCCAAATGAAGTGAAAGGACAACAGAGTTTTCATCATTGCAATTAATTTGTCATGCTTTGAGATATTAACAATAGCCATATGACTGACTGACTGACTGACTGACTGACTGACTGAGTTTGGTTTTACGCCGCTTTTAGCAATATTCCAGCAATATCACGGCGGGGGACACCAGAAATGGGCTTCACACATTGTACCCATGTGGGGATTCGAACCCGGGTCTTCGGCGTGACGAGCCAACGCTTTAACCATTAGGCTACCCAACCGCCCCAATAGCCATATGAAAAGACGTGTGTTCTTTAACTTCTTTGAGTTCTTTATTTAGAGCCCATATCAGCAGGGCATTGTGCAGTACAGTGAATGATAGGGGGATGAATATCAAGCAAATCAACTGACATCCACAAGCTCAGCTGGCACTAGTAACTGATGTACTAGTTTGGCAAAGTAAGTCAAGTGGAGAAAGTTGGTGATGTGGTGTGCAAGTTGTGAAAGTTGGCAGTATTGTGTGTGGGTTGTGTGAAAGTTGGTGATGTGTGTGGGTTGTGTGAAAGTTGGCAGTATTGTGTGTGGGTTGTGTGAAAGTTGGCAGTATTGTGTGTGGGTTGTGTGAAAGTTGGCAGTATTATGTGTGGGTTGTGTGAAAGATGGCATTATTGTGTGTGGGTTGTGTGAAAGTTGGCAGTATGGTGTGTGGGTTGTGTGAAAGTTGGCAGTATGGTGTGTGGGTTGTGTGAAAGTTGGCAGTATTGTGTGTGGGTTGTGTGAAAGTTGGCAGTATTGTGTGTGGGTTGTGTGAAAGTTGGCAGTACTGTGTGTGGGTTGTGTGAAAGTTGGCAGTATTGTGTGTAGGTTGTGTGAAAGTTGGCAGTATTGTGTGTGGGTTGTGTGGAAGTTGGCAGTATGCTGTGTGGGTTGTGTGAAAGTTGGCAGTATTGTGTGTTGGTTGTGTGAAAGTTGGCAGTATGTAGTGTGGGTTGTGTGAAAAATGGTGATGTGGTGTGTGAGCTGTTGTGAAGGTTGGCGATGTGGTGTGTGGGCTGTTGTGAAAGTTGGCAGTATTGTGTGTGGGTTCTGTGAAAGTTGGTGATGTGGTATGTGAGCTGTCATGACAGTTGGTGACGGGCGTGTGGTGTGTAGGCTGTTGTGAAAGTTGGTGACGTGGTGTGTAAGCTGTTGTGAAAGTTGTTGACATGGTGTTTGGGCTGTTGTGAAAGTCGGCGATGTGGTCCGTGGGTTGTTGTAAAAGTTGGCGATGTGGTGTGTGGGCTGTTGTGAAAGTTGACAGTATGGGATGCTTGGGCTCATGGAACACACACAGTAGGTGAGTTTACATTTCAAATGAGCTAACATTTACATCTGAACTTTTCATCCATAAATACATTCATTCTATTTTTGTAGCTACCAAAATGTACAAAGGTGGTATATACACTATATACAGGTTACTTACAACTTAATGTGATCAGTAAAAAGAACATTTACCAAAGGATTAACATCTTGTTCAACAAAACTATCTTGGCACTAGGATGATTTTAAGTAACTGCCACAGTATCGAAGTTGGAACGGCTGAAACACTAGAATCCCCTTGTTTCTCCATAAAAGGTGTCCAGTGGCCTTAGCACTATGATTATCTTTGACAGTGTTAGAGAATCAGCGATGATTCTTTGCTCTGTTCAATACTGCAGCTATATGGCGATGGGTTGTAGATAATCGAGTCCAGGGATTGATATCATGAGCATTAAGTACACAATGGGATATAATTTCATGCATCAACCAAGTTAGTGAGCCTGACTACCCGATCCCGTTAGTCAGTACTTGTGAAAAGCATGGTTTGTGAGGGAGGAACAAGTCCAACCAGGATCTTCACGGGTCGAATATGACAGTTGTTACGTTGAGAACACTTCTGCAAATGGGTTCAGATCTACCTCCTTAGTTTTGACAAGGACAAGATGTTTCCTCATCAAATTGTCACATTAAAGCAGAATATATTTCTCACAAACCAACAGAAAATATTCCAGGTATGTATAAATATATGATAAATATCCTATATACAGAGACGGAAGTTTACCATACAGGTACTGTTGGCGGACATGAAGCTGTCAAATGACATCAGTCAGCCATTGAGAGGAGGGATATCACAGTTAGGCAATGTATATATCATCTGGATGGGGTTTATATCAACGCTGCAGCCTGGGCGGCATACTCCGTTCCCAGCAGACCTCGACATAGCAGCGTGAACTCCTTCACCAAATCTCGTACTTTCCGCTTGTTAACTTTCTCCCTGTAAAGAAAAGAGTGAAGCAATTCTGAGGTGAGGTGAAATTGGGTTTAAAGTCGTGCTGGAGAATATTTCGCTCATATGACAACGTGCATGCGTGTGTATGTGGATGTGCGGCTGCTTGTACTAATCCAGACTAAAGCTGGTTTTATAGTGCTAGCCCACTGAGATACCATGCCGCAGTGAAGCATGAATACCCCACTCAGATACATTATACTGACTCCGAGCCGACCAGTCCTTGTTGTACCCATTAATGCCGAGCGCCAGGCAGGGACCAACAAGTACCATATTTTAACGTCTTTTGGTATGATGCGGTTGGGGATCGAACCCACAACCTTCTGCTCTCCGGGCGGACGCTCTAACCACTACACCACAGAGGCGGTCCGAGGCAATTCAGAGGTAAACTTGATGTGAAGCTGCTGTGACATTTCCTCAGACAAGTGTCGACAGAGTGAGTGAGTTGGGTTTTATGCCACTTTTAGCAATATTCCAGCAATATTATGGCAGGGGACACCAGAAATGGGCTTCACACATTGTATCCATGTGGGCAATCAAAGATGGCCTTCGGTGCGATGAGAAAACACTTTAATCATTGGAATACCCTACCACCCCTGTGAACATATGAAACAAAGCATATTTGTTTGAGTGGGAGGGTAGGTTTGAAGTGAGTGGGTGGTTGGTGAGTGGGTGGGTGGGATTGTTAGTTTGAGTGAGAGGTTGGTTGGTGTCTCTGGGTGAGCCAGTAGGGGAGTGAGATCTGTGGGTTTGAGCAGGTGGGAAGGTAGGGAGGGTAGTTGAGTGTGTTGGAGTGAAAAGGTGGTGGGGTAGTGGTGGTGGTGTGTGTGTGTGTGTGTGTGCGTGCATGTGCGCGCTGGGGGTGTTTGTTTGCTTGAGGGAGGGAGGGAGCAAGGCATCACTGGAGTGAGCAGGTTTATTCTGGATCTTTTACAGTTGCAAAGGATTAGGACCTACAGGTTTATTTTCTGAGGACAATGGGCAGTGGCTACCAGCCTCTACAGGGAACCAGGCAATGGACTTAATGGGTTACTCTGCTGTTAACAAACTTAAGTGACAACTTCTACGGCCATTGCATGTAGAGTGTACTGCATCTGAGCTAACTCATTCAACTGAAGGAAGTTAACTTCGTATGCTTAGCATTAAAACTTTGTTTCATATGACTGTTTATTACACAAACATATGAGTTCTGCACCTCGACATAGTACAGTACATGAATAAAACTGTCAAACAAAAACGTGTGGTTTCACCTGATTTTATGTTCAGCATTGACTTCATAATGGGAAAATGTACTTTCATCTTTCACGTACTTGATCAATGGAATGTTACAGGTAATGTTCATACCTGAGAATATTCTTGACAAATTTCTCCCTGTCCTTCTTGGTAGCCCTGATCGAGGGGTAGCCCTCCTTGTTGATAATTTCTGTCAGCCAGACTGTCAGATGGGGGGAAGTGGTACTTGTTGAGAGCAAGAAGTACGTCGGATGTTCTCTATCACCCCTCTCGGTGACTCTCCTCCTATTGCCTGGAAGACAAGGCTTTAGGTTAAACTTTCATGATGCAGCACTGAGCAATATGACGATAGGTCTCGGGTGTGCCCCAAGGGAGACAACCATGCACAGCACATTGTGGCGTCTAAGACAACTGGGTCAACCAAGACCACCTGTGGCCACCTACTCATTCAACTGTTAGTCAAAACAAAGATGGATGCTGAGGACCTCTGAATAGGTAAAATTGTTCAATGTAAAACACAAATTCCAACACAGTACCCTGAGAATCCTGTCAACTAGCAGTTGGCCGCTGGTCTCAATGACATCCTTGATTGTTTTTTACTTCATATCCCACATGGAGGAATTCCACCTGGAACAGACATACAGGATATTGACTGCAACTGAAACATCCCTCCACAGCCATCTTTAACAACATGGAGCCGAGTGAGTGAGTGAGTGAGTGAGTTAAAAATTTAAGTCAGATCGGAAGTATTTCAGCCATATTGTGACTATATCAAGTTATATATGTAGAATAATTATAGGTAAATAATTAGACTGTAAAACAACTAGTTTATCACAGATATAAATTTAAAAACTACTAATTACTTTTAAAACATTTTAACTATACAAGACAATACAATATATAAAAACAGGCTATAGATTGGCAACAACTGAAGGTAGATCACCTTACTAGGGACCATGGGAACTTACAGTACATTTGCTTCCTGCATGGACCCCAGCTAGATTTACACCATCCCTTCAGCTATTACCAACTTTAGATAATTTAGCCATAAATTGACATATAAGCTGCGATTAAAAATAGTAGTAGGTTTAAATTAACTTTGAATGTTTTGGGACTTGGAGCCAAGTAGCCTGGTCTCCCCAGGTGAAAGATGAAAGTTGTTGTTGTATCTGACGGTTACTCTCCATTTTAGGCACCCAATCCCCGTGTTTCATTCCCACAACAATGTTTGTTCTAACGACACAATCAAGATATTCTCCCCCGAGTTTTGGCGGGGGTGCATGTAAGACAAAAAAGAGTAAGTATTGCAATACTCCTGTGTAATGTCACATTCAGCATCATTCCAGCTATTTGATGGCGGTCTGTAACTAACCCAGTGATTGACATCATGAGCATAGATCAACACAACCGTGATAAATGACATGTCAGCAACCAGGTCAGGAAGTCACCTCTTGGTCATTACAAGACAAGCAGGGATCGCTGACATTCTTACCCAGAGAGCATGTAAGGTGATTGAGTGAACTTTAATTCTGTAGTGAGCAAAATTTAAGTTATTTACCAGAAAAGAGCAGGAACTCTTAACACTTCCATGTTCCGGCATTCCCATTCCAATGATCCCTGAAACAACCAAATGCAAACAGTTTGAAACACACCATAGACTGTTGACTTATATAGAGAGAATGTGTTGGCACTGCAGTCTCAGCCAAGTGATTTGATATAAAATATATCAGCACCAGTTACAAAAACATGTAATTTTTTTGAGTAAAATTAATATTTTATACTTATCCTGACTCATGATCTTTTGCTTATCTCCCTCTTCTATGCGAATGGTAGTGGAACACTTGAATCCCTTGTAGTTCCCTAAAGCGGACGTAAAAGTACACTCACCCACGAGTTACCTCCCTTTTCCTGCGCAAACAGTCATGTGACCTGCCTTACTTGTCACTCTCTCCTGATTTTTCTGCCCATGCACTTGGATCTGCTGTGAAATCCGAAGTGTTTCCAGCGGGGAGGTTGGGAGGGCTTCTCGTCATGAGTCAGGATAAGTATAAAATATTAATTTTACTAAAAAAAATACATATTAATCCTTATCCTGACTCATGATCTTTGCTTATAGAATCCGATGGATTGATGGTGGGTCAGGCCACTTTCTGGATTCATCAGCAGTCTTTTAGATACGTCAACAACGAGAGGCCCAAACTGGTGAATGCCTGAGACGTCTTCGGTGGCTATGTCTCGGAGGTAGTGGTTGGCAAACACCCTATCCGACTTCCAAAAGCAGCCCTCCATAATTGATGATACAGAGCAGTTTCCATGCAAAGCTAGTGCAGACGCCAGTGCTCTGACTTCGTGTGGGTTGGAAGCTCTTGGAGGTTCTAGTCCTGCTGCTTTGTAGGTTCTCAATATAACGGTACTCAGCCAGAACAATATTGTCGTTCTTGATACTTCCACTGTTGTCTCTGTAGACAAGGGGATGAATAGGCGCTTGAATGTTTTGAAGATATATCTTCAAGGCTCTGACAGGACACAAGGATAAGTCCTGAGTATCCTCTGGTCCCAGGATTATAGATAGCGCTGGTATATGGAACTGTCTATCTGGTTTACCAGGTAGTTGATTCTTTGCAATAAAGTCCCATCTAAGTCCTAGATGTACTGCAGCACGGTGCCCCGTTGAATCTGGTTCGTCCAAAGTCCAGCGCATGTATCTCAGACATTCGAGTTGCCGTGGCTAGGGCAAGTAGGAACAGAGTCTTCTGTGTGAGTCGCTTGAAGGTAGTCTGGTCTAGAGGTTCGTCGGCATCACTCATGAGATGACGTAGAATTACATTCAGATCCCAGGCCGGCGCTCTAAAATTTCTTTTGCTGGTCCTCCAGTTTAAAAGATCGCAGCAGAGCAAGTAATTCTGGTACTTTCGTCAACTTGATGCCTGACTTCATAGTGACCACTGTACTGATGGCTGCCAGATACGTGGATAATGTCGAACCTTTCAGATGTCTTGTATGTCTGAGGTGACATAAGTATTCCGCCACTTGAGGATGAGTAGCTTCCATAGCTGTGAAGCCTTTCTGCCTTGCATATTTCTCAAATTTCAGCCAAATGTCGTCATACAAGTTGCAAGTAGATCTGCATAACGCTAGGGTTACTGCTTTTGCAGCTCCGGCGGATTATCCTCTTTTCTTCAAACAGGTTTTGATACGGTCCACACGTGAAGCTGGAACAGTGTTGGGTTCCTGTGGACTTGTTTGGTGTGCGGATGTCTGAGTAGGTTCGGCCATTTTGGTAGCCTGAGGGCTGGACTTCCGAGATCTTTTTATTAGGTCTAGGGACCAGACTCTTGCTGGCCAATAGGGCGCGACCAAAGTCAGTTGTAGCGCCTGCGTCTGTCTGATCTTCAACAGTACTTTCGGTAGTAATATAAGGGGTGGAAATGCGTAAGCGTTTAGTCCTTCCCAGGATATGCTCAGTGCATCTGTTGCCCAGGCTTGGGGATCTGGTACGGGTGAGACAAACGTCTGTAGTTGTTTGTTGAACCTCGTGGCAAACAGGTCTATGCATGGGGATCCTATTTCCCTTATGATGAATGCCTCTGGATGGAGCATCCATTCCGTAGGTGACGGGTGCAGTGGTTGGGACAGAGCGTCTGCTAGCACCATTCTTGGCTCCCTGAATGTGACACGCCTTTATCCAGATGTTTGCCTCCTCCGTGATGTCGAACAACTGGAATGTGAGCTGAAGTTTATTTTATTTATTTATTATTATTGGAAATTTATATAGCGCACATATCCATGCACTAATGCATGCTCAAGGCGCTGGTAGTTTTTCCCTCGATCATTGAATGTCAATCTCAACGGCACATCTTATTATCAATCTCAACTCCCTGGGGAGCATACAACTCTTGCAGCCACTAGCCGCACCCCAATTTCAGCGTCTAGCTCCTCTGGATCCTCTTGGAGTGCATCCTCTCCCTGAGTTCCCTCTGTAGTTTCCGGATGGGCGATGAAAAGATCCTTTTCTGCCTCTGAAGCTGGAGTATTTTTTCTCCTTCACTTCAGGATACCGGAATATTTCGACTTGCTGTTATACTTCTGTGAAGTATGACGAATGACGTTGGCTAGAGTATCTATAGACTTGATCATCATGACTTCCTTTGTATCATGAGTAGCTTCCTTAGCTGCTTCATCTATCTCGCCTCCGAAGATAGTCGGCGCCGCCCATGGAGCTGTAAGTAGCGGTTGTGTAAATCTGTCACTCCAGGAACAAGATGCCAGTAGACCCTGTCTCCTCATGAAACTGATACCTGCCGACGCTGAAGCCAAATGATCCGATATAAAGTATTGGTCCTTCTTCTGGGTGAGCAGAGCAGATAGTATCATTCTATCTTCTTCCGAACTAGGTTTCTGGAACTTGTTAATCAATGCCTCATTGATAGCTCTGGACCTCGCTAATCCAAAGAAGGATCTTCTCGTCGCTGTATCAAGTAGGGCCAACTTCTTATCCTCCACCTTGTATATCTTGTTCCGAGAGTCGTTGACTAATTTCATATTCTCATCTAAGTCCGGCGCTCTCATAAAGGGGTCCATATGATGTAACGGGAATTTCTTCGCATTAAAGGATGGCAGATGTTGATGCTGAGATTTAGTAGCTTTCTCAAAAGCCATGCGTAGGTTGGAAGGTTGGAAATTCAGTCCATTAGCTATCCAAGCTGTAATCTCCGAAACTGGGAAGACATAGTCACCCTGTTCATCAGACAGTTTCTGGTCTGTAGAGCTATGCCTTCGCAAACCCTCCTTCTGCGAACCTTGCATTCACGAACCTCTATCTCGTGAGCCATCCCTTCTCGAACATCTGTCTCGTGATCCATCCCTTCGCGAACGTCTCCTCGTGACTTGTCCCTTCGTGAGCTTCTGTCTCGCGAACCTTACCTTCGTGGACTTCTCTCTCGCGAACCTGGCCTTCGCGAACGTCTGTGAGAGCTGTGGGATCTCGATCTGGAGTGGGTGGATCTCAAAGATGGTTCCTTAGGCGTTCTCGAACGTTGAAGGTTTCGCTGACGTAGATCTCGAAGAGTTAGTGGCCTTCGCGAACCTTCCATCTTCCTCCATGATGACGGAGTCGTCTGAGTGTGATGACCTTCTCGAAGGTAACCGTTCGCCAACGTTGACTTCGGATGTAGTTCTATGAGGTGTATCAGGTTCGCGCAGGCCTTCAGTATCTCGAACGTTGCCAGCTGAAGTGAGGTTCCGTCGTGCCTTCGCTTCCTCATCAAATTTGATAAACCAATGCCATATGTACAACGCAAGGTGGAAGAACATGGCTTAATGCATGATGGGCATTTGGGGTGAGGATCAGCCACTGATAGCCGGTACCTGCAAACACTGCAAGATTTCATGACACGTAAACAAGTTACATTACGATGAAATATGTCAACAAATACAAATAATTTCTTCAATTTTTTTACATATAATGCAAACTAGTTATAGCCAAATACCATACACAGCGTAATTTCAACAAATAGGATCTAAATAAAAAGGATATAATGCCGTATACCGGACTCCCAGTGCTCGCCCAACCCTCCGCTTGGGCGAAAAGGGAGAGAGTGACAAGTAAGGCAGGTCACATGACTGTTTGCGGGGGAAAAGGGAGGTAACTCGTGGGTGAGTGTACTTTTACGTCCGCTTTAGGGAACTACAAGGGATTCAAGTGTTCCACTACCATTCGCATAGAAGAGGGAGATAAGCAAAAGATCATGAATCAGGATAAGGAAAAATAAACATTTATCGACAGGCATTGATGTATTTGAGTCATTCTGGTGAGATTATCATCCTTATAACTTTTTTCAATATGTAAATGTCCTCGACATAAAGATTACATCTAACCAGGGCCTAGAAGTTAATGTTAATGACTATCTTAGTGCTAAGAGAGCTTCGAAAATCTAGGCCCAGGTTCAGAGGCAGAGAGATTAGTGATGTCATTGGATTGTGATGTCATGGTAAAGAATGATGTCATAATTGTCTGCATAGCATTGTGAATGAATTTCCTGTAGTGATATGTCCAAGGTTCCCCCTTGAACTGACCCACGTGATATCTCCTGTAGGAGCAAGTTTTAGATGATATATACTACCCATGAAAAGTTTAGACTCACTAGACTAAATGTAGCCACTTACTTCAGTCAACTGTTCTAAAGTAGATTCCTCAAAATATTCCATACTGTTTAAAGGTACTGTTTACACATGAACTGATGTATTGTCAAACAAATTTGTAACGTTGAAATGATTAAACTCAGTGAGAATTAGCAAATTCTTAACAAAACTTTACACCAAAACGCAGCTGTTCACATGCACGATATCTGCACATGCTTGTCAGCAATTTGCTGCATGATCCTCATGCAATTCATCTGCAAAAGTTTTGCAGTGGGTTCCCTCAAGTTAGTTGAAAAATTCATCTTCGATGTAACCATATATACTGAACATCATTGAAAATGCACCACCTGTAAATTTTGAAATATGGTAATAGGATTATTTTGAGAGTGAAAATGAATGTTGGAAATGTTGTTAATAACATAAAAGACAAAAAATGCTGTACAGTAAAGAATAGATTGGCCGAACACATCATGGAACACATCACATGACAACAACAAAATACATGCACAACACACACGAAAAGCACAAATTGCATTCTCATTTTAGCTGTACCTCCGCAAGTAAAGTTTATTTTGCAATGCCAAGATTGTTAACAGAGGAACGAGAACAAGCATTGGGCATGTTGCAGGTTGGCACATCCAGCAGGATGATTGCCAGACGATTTGGTTGCCATCATTCCACCAGCATAAGACTTGCCAACAGGTACCAACAAACAAGAACCACCAGGGACCGCCAACGTCCTGGCCAGGCACGTGTTACCACCCCTCGCCAAGATCGAGACATTGTTCGGCGCGCCATATTCGGGATTGTACGTTGCCGTCTGCCAGAACCGCCAATGCTGTCCACTGCCGATGTGGTTTGATCAGTGCTTCCACCGTCCGACGCCATCTCCGTGCGGCAGGATTACGGTGTCGACACCCTTATGTTGGACCCATCCTGACGTGGTTGTTACGACGTTGGCATGGTGTTGTGTTCTCTGACGAGTCACGTTTTCACTTGCGAAATGCTGACGGGCGTCTACGGGTATGGCGTCGACGGGGAGAACGTTACCATCTGGACTGTATTGTGCAAACAGATCTGTGGGGTGGAGGAAGCATTATGGTGTTGGGAGGGATCAGTTATCACAAAACTGCTCTGGTAGTTTGTCCAGGCAGAGTGAATGCCCTTTACTACTAATGCCCTAAAATGTCGTTCCCCTTCTTTAACCAACATCAAGATCTACACACATTACAGCAGGACAATGCTCGAGCGCACACTGCACGTGTTGCAACACAGTTTCTGGCAAACAACAACATTCCTCTACTTCCATGGCCTGCATTGTCACCAGATTTGTCTCCCATTGAAAAGTTGTAGGATTACATCGGCCAACGCCTCTCACGTCGCCCACAGATCAACAACCTTGGGGAACCTGATAATGCCTTGCAACAAGAGTGGAATGCATTGCCTCAAAACATTATTCAGAGACTTATCAGTTCAATAAGGAGGCGTTGCACAGCTTGTGCTGCTGCTAACGGTGGTCATACACATTACTGACTTTCCCATTTGACTCCATCTTTCTTTCATGGTCAGCTGAATTAAAACTTCACTGTTTTGCAGGATTGGTTCTTGTTTCTTTTCTTTACCAATCATTGGACTACAAAAGTATGTAAAATTTACACCGATTGCTCATTTATGCTCTTGGAAATCCAAACTAATACAGGTGGTGCGTTTTCAGTGATGTTCAGGATATATATACACATAACATACAGCCAGTGCTTTAAGTGAGTCTAAACTTTTAATGGGTAGTATATAGTGAACTTATCACCCACCTGCATGGAATAGACCTGACAGGTTACAGCTACCATCTGTCATCAAGTGCTGAGTCTTCTTCATCACCTGTATAATCCAAATGCACATTACAAGACCATTTACAGGTAACCCTGCTCATCTTACAGCATGTACCTCAACACCTGGCATCATATATGCATGGACTAATAACTTATCTGAGTGATCAGTTATAATCAGTAGATTGTAATATTTGCTATTTTTACTTAAGGTTGCTTGTTAAATAATTCTAGTCTACTGAGGGATTCCACTCAGACACAGTACATATACTGAGTACCAGCAAACTCTGGTTGTATTCCCTTAACACATTTCTCAACATAAGTCCGGCAGCTGAGCAGCACCATTCTGCCTCTAACTTAAATGAGTGGGGAAATCTTTTTTTTTTTTGGTTCAAATAAATATATTTTTTTTATCACTTTCTCTCTTTTTTTGTGGGTACTATGACGAAATCTTTGATTTTACTGACCTGAGACAGTAATGTCATAAAGTTTTCTATCACATCAGAATTTGCCCTCAGTACTGAAACAAAAGAAGTTAATATACAAAGCAATATTTTATAAAATCTCATGACAGAACTTTTATTTGTACACATTTTTTTGTCATGTGAGGGTTTCAGATTTTCTCCAAAGAAATGTATATATTCTTGTACATCAAATTTTAAAACCACAACGGCAGATATTCCTTGTAGTTTACAATTTACTAAAATATTGACAACTGTTCCCAACAAGTTAAGGTAATCTGTCCCATAATCCACTGATCCCGATCTATAGATGCTGGCAGGAGAGAGATGAAACTCCCTGCAGTTGTCTCCACTTGACTACTGGACCTCTGGATGAGTCACACCACACTCCAGCCAGCATGCTACCAATGAAGTGTCTAAGGGAGGTAACTGGACTGGAGTATACCTACCCTGCACATCCTGGTACATGAGCAGTGTCTTATTGATGATGGTGCTCAGCAGCACCTTGGTGAACTGTAGGAAGTTGCGGTCCGTCCCAAACAGCAGGATCATCTGGATCACAACGAGGATCATTAAGTGAGAGAAGTAGGGAAGGAGCATAGTGAGTGCCCATATCTGTCAGGGGTGTGTGTGAGTGTCCACATCTGTCAGGGTGTGTGTGAGTGTGTCCACATCTGTCAGTGTGTGTGTCCACATCTGTCAGTGGTGTATGTGTGTCCACATCTGTCAGGGGTGTGTGTCCATATCTGTCAGTGTGTGTGTGTGTGTCCATATCTGACAGGGGTGTGTGTCCATATCTGTCAGTGTGTGTGTGTGTGTCCACATCTGTCAGGGTGTGTGTGTGTGTGTGTGTGTGTGTGTCCACATCTGTCAGGGTCTGTGTGTGTGTCCACATCTGTCAGGGTGTGTGTCCACATCTGTCAGTGTGTGGTGTGTGTCCACATCTGTCAGTGTGTCCACATCTGTCAGGGTGTGTGTGTCCACATCTGTCAGGGTGTGTGTGTGTGTGTCCACATCTGTCAGGGTGTGTGTGTGTGTGTCCACATCTGTCAGGGTGTATGTGTGTGTGTGTCCACATCTGTCAGGGTGTGTGTGATGTGTGTGTGTGTCCACATCTGTCAGTGTGTGTGTGTGTGTGTGTCCACATCTGTCAGTGTGTGTGTGTGTGTGTCCACATCTGTCAGGGTGTGTGTGTGTGTCTCCACATCTGTCAGGGTGTGTGTGTGTGTGTCCACATCTGTCAGGGTGTGTGTGTGTGTCCACATCTGTCAGGGTGTGTGTGTCCACATCTGTCAGGGTGTGTGTGTGTGTGTGTGTCCACATCTGTCAGGGTGTGTGTGTGTGTCCACATCTGTCAGGGTGTATGTGTGTGTGTGTCCACATCTGTCAGGGTGTGTGTGTGTGTCCACATCTGTCAGTGTGTGTGTGTGTGTGTGTCCATATCTGTCAGGGTGTGTGTGTGTGTCCACATCTGTCAGGGTGTGTGAGTGTGTCCACACCTGTCAGGGTGGGTGTGTGTGTGTGTCTCCACATCTGTCAGGGTGTGTGTGTGTCCACATCTGTCAGGGTGTGTGTGTGTGTGTCCACATCTGTCAGGGTGTGTGTGAGTGTGTCCACATCTGTCAGGGTGTGTGTGTGTGTGTGTCCATATCTGTCAGGGTGTGTGTGAGTGTCCATATCTGTCAGGGGTGTGTGTCGATATCTGTCAGGGTGTGTGTGTGTCCACATCTGTCAGGTGTGTGTGTGTCCACATCTGTCAGGGTGTGTGTGAGTGTGTCCATATCTGTCAGGGGTGTACCCATATCTGTCAGGGGTAGATGTATATCCATATCTGTCAGGTGGGAGGTGTATGTCCATATCTGTCAAGGGTGAGATGTATGTCCATATATGTCAGGGGTGTGTGTCCATATCTGTCAGGGGTGTGCATCCATATCTGTCAGGGGTGTGGTGTGTGTGTCATGTTTTCCTATGTGACAACAGCTGAGTATGCACATACCTGTCTGACAAGATCCAAGAGAGAGGGATGGGGCACAGCCTGGTACATCTCAATGGTCATCTGGGCAACATCCTGAGACATGGGTGAGAAGTCCTCCATGAGAGTGCGCAGGGCCTTCTTGAACAGCTCACACACTGCCTACAGTAATCAACAGCAGAAGCTAAAGAACACCCAACTATTTTATTTGGCTATAGTTAATCTCTCATGCCTGATTGACTATAGTCATAGGAAATAACAAAACCTTCCTTAACTTTTGCTGACTAGTATATACAGCATATTGAACACATTTCAAGGAAATCAGTGCTTTAGAATCCTGGAAGTGTTGTTGATTTATAATGTATCACCAACAATGAACTGTGTAGTGAAGGTAAATTTCAGACTGGAATTATAAAATATTTCAATAATCATACCTCTACGATTGCAGGATCAACCAACCATTTTGACACCATGACTTTGATCATTGGAAGCACTTGCTGCAAGATGACATAAACCTAAAAATAGAAGAAGAGAGAAAAAAAGAGATGAAAACAATTTACAAACAAATGGTGCACCAGATCTGATTATGGTTGAGATTCTCATATAACCAATCACTGCCTACCAAATGATGTCAAGGACAAGCCCTTCTGACAGCTGCAACACTGAAGAACATAGTGAGTTTGGTTTTACATTGCTTGAACCAATATTCAAACAATGACAAAGCAGGGGGGACACCAGAGAGTGTTGGGAATCCAAGCTGTGCAAGCTAACACTTTAACACCCAGATTATTCCACTGCTCCTGCTATTTTTACTTGAAGAAACATATTCTCTCCACTAAACACATATCATTTTACTTTAGTATTCAAAATACCCCTCCTCCTTATACTGTTTCTTTTTCTCTTGAATACTGCAGCTATGAATTTAGAAACTACATCCATAAATTATGCAATGAAATCAAAAGGCCTTACAGGTTTAGGTTGGTCTGCATTGGGTTTTTGTTTCTCAGGCGAGCTGTCTTCTCCATCATGGTCTCGCTCTGTGTCCAGGGAGGCAAACAACCAGCTCAACAGGTTCACTTTCAGAATCAGGTTGGCCTTGGTAACGGCAGTCGGCTGCTGCAATAGGACAGTTGTGGTTCCAGTTGTGCAAAAAAAAGTGTATAATAATTCAGAATATTCAACTAAAACGACAGCAGTTTGTCTTCATCTAAAGTCACACACACATACCATCACCATAAGACTATAGTGAAAGAGGTGGTAAAGTTATATTGAGGCAATATGATGGCAGCCTGCAATGGAGCCTTGACCAGAAAACACGCTGGTTCATTCTCATAAGAGACTACCAAACAGATTGAACAGTCAGGCGTGATGATTGGTTGTTGGGTCTCAATGTACCCTGATGTTGAGTAGGGCTGCGCAGCATAACCGGTTTACCGGTTTACCGGTATTTACCGGTTCAGACATGAAAACGATACGTATTGCGATACGCTGATCAAAAACCGGTATTTTAATCTGCATTCGGAAAACTTCGCAACACTCGGAAATCTTCAGGTATTTCCTTGTTTCATTTGTGCCAAATATTATTTACATTTCTATTTTGTCATGATTAAAGGTTGGTGTTAAAGCTTAATCAAGCATATTTTGTGTGTGTGTTTTTGCTCTAAAAATCAAGCTTTAACGCGATTATAAGTAGTTTGTTTTTTTTAATTCTTCTTGCACTATATTGCAATACATATCGCAATATATGCTTTCGCATTGCAATATATCGCAGTATGAAAATTCTCTGCAATACCCAGCCCTGATGTTGAGCATCATTGCTCGCAGTATCAGGACTCAACTGTCTGGTTCAGACTCAGTTCTTTAAAGACTGAAATTTTTAGAGTAAAATTAATATTTTTATACTTATCCTGACTCATGTTTATTTGCTTGTCTTCTTCTTCTGGCTAACCTAGTGGAACACTTGTATCTCCCAATTGAAGTTCCCTTCAATAAAAAATCACTCATTAGTACTGACCACGAAGTTACCTCCCCATTCCACAAGCTGAACGAGGGCTTTCACCTGAACCCATGTGCCTCACTCTCTCCTCATATACTGAGCTCCAACACCTGAATTTCCAGGGAAATCCAAAGTGTTAAGTGGGGAGGACGGAGGGAGTTATTCATGAGTCAGGATAAGTATAAAAATATTAATTTTACTCTAAAAATTTCATATTTTTCCTTATCCTGACTCATGTTTATTTGTTTGTAGAATCCTACGGAATAGGAGGTGGGATTATATATACTTTGGATTTTACTAATTAGTGATTTGAACTGAGATAATTGTAATAACCCTAAGGGAACTTCATGAAGGCACTGAACTGAATTCCTGCTGTTAACTTATCAGTTGCCATAGAAGGGTTATTACAATTTACTGAATATAATAAAGTATATAGAACATTAATTAAGCTAAAGCTATTAATGTGATAGTATAAACTGTTGATAGTTTATAATGAATACTTTTATAGAACCAAAGTAGTAAGCTTACAATATGCATATATGTAAGTTATAACAGAATTGTGCTTAAGGTATAATGATACTTTAAGCTGTATAATAGTAACCAACTACTGAGAGTTTGTTAACTAATACATGTTATGAAATGAACATATGACTGAGCTTAAGGATTGAAACTTAAGCTGAACATATATATAATAGTAGAACTCCTAAGAGTTGTAGGCATATATATAGTATGATTATAGAACTGTGCTTAAGATATAATTAACTTAAGCAACCTAAATAGCCAAAACAACTCCGAGAGTTTGTTAGCTATTACATTTTATAATGTAACCATAATGCTTAAAATATGATGAAACTTAAGCTAAGTATATGATAGTAAAACTCTTTAGAGTTTGTTAGCTAATATACTTATATGATATAAACACGGTACTGAGCTTTAAGATATGAATAAACTTAAGCTACATATATAATAGCAAAAACTCCGTAGAGTTTGTTAGCTAATACATGTTATAATGTAACCATAATGCTTAAGATATGATGAAACTTAAGCTACATATATAATAGCAAAAAACTCCGTAGAGTTTGTTAGCTAATATATTTTTATGATATGAGTATAGTACTGTGTTTAAGATATAATGAACTTAAGCTACATATATAATAGCAAAAACAAACTCTGTAGAGTTTGTTAGCTAATACATTTATAATGTAACCATAGTACTGAGCTTAAGATATGATTAACTTAAGCTAAATATATAATAACAAACTCCGTAGAGTTGTTAGCTTATATATTGTATGATATAATAACCATAGTACTGAGCTTAAGATAATAAAAGAACTTAAGCAAAATATATATAGCATGTAGCTATTTAGTACTGTTATAAGATAAGTAAAAATCTGTAAGATTGACTTATCTTCTCCGAGGAACTGTCAACTGTTGTGCGAGGACCATGGGACCGAATTGGTGGCTACCTGAGACGTCCTCGGTGGTGATATCTCTCAGATAGTGGTTGGCAAACACCATATCGGATCTCCAGAAATAACCCTCCATATTTCAATAGCATTGTATATGTTAGCTCTCTAATATCATGAGGATTAGAAGCTCATGGAGGGTCGATCCTGCAGTCTTGTAGGCACGTAGTATGACAGTTCTGATCCAAAAGGAGATAGTACGCGAGACTTCCGCTCATGTAGCTTGATAGAGGAAATAATCTCTTGCATTTTTCCCTCCTGTTTGGCTCGGTGGAGATATATTTTCAGTGCTCTTACTGGCCATCGTGATAGATTCATCGTATCATGGGGTCCAAGTATATCATCAAAGCGTGTTCATAAACCTCACTTGTGAGGTGTTGGAGCACTATATTCAGATCCCAAGTTGGAGCTGAAACTTCCGCTTTAATCCTCCAATCGAAAGCTCGTGAGCAAGGCGAGTAACTGGGTTAGAACTTGACGCCCGTTCTCAGTTATGATAGAGCTATTGCTGCAAGATAGGTGGACAAGTTGAGCCTTATAAAATCTTAGTCTGACGTAGATAACATAAGTAGTCCGCCACTTGAGGATGAGTAGCATATCTAGCTGTAAATCCTTCCTTTGCAGCATAATTGACAACACTGTGCCATTTGTCATCGTATAAGTTGCCAGTTGAGTTACGCGAGGGCAAGTTAGACTGCTTTGCCGCCTGGCTGAAAAACTTGTTATTCAGACACGCCTTGATACAATCCATACGTGGAAGTTGGAATATATCTGGCTTTCCGTGCGCTTGTTTGGTGTGCGGATGTATTAACAGATTCGAGCACTCTGTAAGGTGTAGTATTGGTTGTCCGATTTCTTGAATAAGAGTTGGAAACCACTTCCTCGCTGGTCAGTAGGCCGTGACCAAAATCAGATGGAGGCTCTGCTTTAGACTGATTTAGAGTAAACTTGTGAGATTAACGCTGGTGGCGGAAAAGCGCACGCGCTGAGACCTTCCCACGATATGCTTAGTGCGTCTGTTGCCAATGCTAGTGGGTCTGGAACTGGCGATACGAATGTTGTCAGTTGTTTGTTGAATCGAATGGTAAATAGGTCTATTAGTGTAGTTCCTATTTCCTTGATAATTTGAGTGAATATCTCTGTATGGAGCATTCATTCTGTCGGCGATGGTATGTGTGGCCGAGAGAGAGCGTCTGCTATCACATTCTTTGCTCCTGGAATGTGATATGCTCTGACATGTATGTTGAGATTGTTGATTAAATCGAACAATTGAAAACAGAGTCGATATGTTCGGGGACCTGGTTGAGCTTAGTTTGTTCACATAAAACGCCACTGTCGAATTGACTGTGTGAATCATCCACTGGGTATACTGTAGTAAGTTGCTCCAGTGTATTAAGGCGTTTATTACTGCTTGCATCTCTAGCAGATTTATGTGTAATTGCTCTCTTGATTGCTCATAGCCCTGATGCCGCCCTGTTGGCAAGATGGGCTCCCCAACCTTATAGTGACACATCTACGAGAGAAGTGTTATCGATTCCAGCTCTATTAACGAGACGCCTTCTATTCAAACATTCGATCTCTTGGTGCATCATAGTAGATGAGGTTTGACCTGAACCGATGATTGAACGGTAGAGATTCGTCTAGATGCGAATTGTTGATGACTTGTAACGGATGTAATTGTAGTCTGCCTCTGTCTGTCATGTCTTGAGCTGAGCTGAAGTGCGTAACCCCAACAGACTCTGTCACTGTCGTAGTGGTAGCGGAGATAGTAAGGCTTGTGGAAATGACTGTTGGATCTTGATCCATGGTCCTCCGGTACAATTATAAGATTCTGCGCCGTTACAAATCAAAAACCTAGAATAGCAGATCTTGCGAAGGTTCTAGGTCCAACTTAAGTAGGTTTACTAACCATCTAGTTGTGTTAGTAGCTTGATGATGAATTCAAGTGTAGTCTGAGACGCTATGGATTTGGATCCATTTGTATCCCGTCCGTCGAGGTAAATTCGCTGCATGGTGCTTGACGATGTAGATGCATAACCAGGGTGACTGCCATCGCTGAACTTATGTAAAAAATCGCCTGACTGCCGTGTCCTCGCCCTTACTTGACAGGGAGGTCTCTAACCTCAAGAAGGCAGCCCAATCATGAAGGTTTAGATTAGCTGGACTGTAAGGAGGCTTGCTCGCTCACTGATATATTGTTGTCACTTGCAACCTATGTGTTGAACTGTGAACTATGATCGACCTCTGCGTAGGGCTGTCCATCTCTGTCCAATCAGAACAAGGCATTTTGATTCTGTAGAGTACCCGCTGCTGTGACGCCACCGGTGTATCAGGAAAGGAACCTTGTATAATATAGTGCCGCCGCTGATATTAGAACAATCGTCGGTCTTCACCGTAAACTTCCCCGGTTACCCGAGTGACCACGCGTTTTCGAGGGTTGATGGTAAACGCTGAAACCTCCGGCGCGAAATACCTCGCTCTGTAATATTAATGCTGGATAAGTTATTTTCCAGGCTGTCGTGAAAGTAACTTCAGTCTTGAAGATAATTCCGACTTCCTTATATAAGGTTCAATAACCTTGCAAGTTGTCAGCTTGTAGACTGTTAAAGCTGAACTTGTTGTACATATTACTTCTGAGGAAATCGTTGACGATT